CCTATTTGGGTCAGCATGCCCCCTGTGCAGTCTAGCTTCAGCTTCACAGTGTTTGTTTTGTATGGGCGTGAGTCAGTGGCGAGACAGTGACCTGGTGTTCATCCACTTATCGCATCAATTCTCTGCAGCAGTACCACAAAGAGACCGGATGATGGAATCGTGTAAAATACATATTTATACGGAAGGTGAATTGTAAAGACTTGTTGTTTATAACATTTTAGGAAATGGGAAAATGAATGTCACTGGCAAATGAAAAGGGGAGTAGCATGACAGTTTAAAGTGTCCTCTCTCGTCTCCTTTTCTCGTTACTCGTGTCATCACAGTAAAAGACTTCAAAAATGTAAAACCATTCATTTTAGTGCACACAGTAACACGGTCAGCACTTCCCCTGCCCTGCCCAGCCCTGCTCACCATCATCACATGACTATTCTAAAGTGGAAAATGCCTAAATACACCCACAAATGACACATATCCGGTAAACAGCGTTACACAACCTGTAATCAAATTGTGTTTGTAGCAGGGATTAACACGGCATTCTTCCACGTGAAACCAGATATTCAACCACATATATCATATTTCCTTATTAGGTTACACGCAAATTAAAATTTGAACTGGACGCAACCATACAACCGTTTGTGTCTAGCACCATCACATGGATAACTCCAGAACAGCACATTCAACAGACAAATGTGTGTGTGTGTTTTTCCCAGATCTGTGAACTCAGCAATGACTCATTGGTTTTTCTAATCAGACTCACTGTGTGTGTGTGTGTGTGTGTGTGTGTGTGTGTGTGTGTGTGTGTGTGTGTGTGTGTGTGGCAGGTTTATCCATGGCAGTGCGTCATGATTCTCTGTACTCAGGTCTGTCGGGGTTTAATGGAGCTCTGGGCTGCATGGCTGTTGGAGGACTCTTCTTCACCTTCAGCTGGAGGACCCACCTCTTTGCCATCGCCAACGGTGACACAGGAGCACACGCACAAGCACACAAAGACACAGTTACTGTCTATTGTTCAAAATGCATAATAACAGTGTTAGTGGTCTAGTACCTGACATAAAGCTTTACCAACACAATTTACACAAGTACAAAGGGTGAAACACAGTGCTTTTATTTAAAGGTTATTTTTTAAATGTCATTTTCCAGCATAAACTAAATTGGCCTCATGTTCCTCATTTTCTACTTAGCTTTATACACTGGAGGCAGCAAGGACGGCTATCCTACATACTTCATTCCTATATCATATGTGATGTTTTTCATCCTCCTTCTGTTGGGATTTTCCACTGCACAAATAGGGATCAACACCTGTGTTTCACTCAGGATTTGTGTTATATTACTTTTGGTAATAATATGTTCTATAGTGTAGTTGTCACACATTTGCAGAACAGCGTGGAGTATAATAGGGAATCATTGCAAAGAATGCTTACGCCACTCTTTCATCAAGCCGCACAACTTTGTTATACTTCTAAACTAAAGAGGGGCCATCATTTTAAACTGGCTCTTACTTAACTTTTTCAGTTTTAAATATAGCTACTGTGTAGTGTACCTCAAGAACCATATGAGGATGATTTTATAATTTTGTTATAATATCTGCTTTACCTTACTTGTATTTTTGTGGTGAAAAAGACAGACATAAGAAGAAAAATTCGAATTTCTTTGCCTCTGTCATTATTCTTTATGTTACACACTCAGCCACTGGAGGGCGACAGAAACAAACACGCTGCTTCAATATGCTTTGTCCATGGTAACTGAAACACTCTCGTGTAATGTAGTGCACATCAAATAGACAATAATAGGAAAAGATAGCTCAAACTGACACCTTTTTTAATCCCAGATCCTTAAACTTTAGCCCAGGTTGTTTTGAACATAACTTCATTAAAATATTTTATTAAAATACTCTGCATTTAGGCTATACAAATTTTCACATTTTTCAGACTCATTAGTTTTTCTCAATTGCTTAAACACTATAACCAGACTTTGGAAATAAAATTTCACAACCATAAGAGGTGAAGGAAGAGGAACAGTAGGAGTTAGAGGATATGGGATAGGAGGAAGCTGAGGAGGAAGTGATAAAGCAGCAGTAGGGTGGAAGAGGAGGAAGGAGGAGTAGTAAGCAGGAGGAGGTGGAGGACAGCAATCTCTGGCCTGTCCCAGACCAAAGACAGCACGCTGGTACAGAATAATTAGTTGTTTAGTGTGTTGTACTGTAATGTACACTAACAAATAAAAAATGTGCAATTGTTTACATTTGTTTTTTGTAGGATTGTTTTGAATTTATCTCACCACTGTGTTGTAGTGTGTGTGTTTCTGAGGGCAAAGCTTGTTTTTTCAGCAAGATTGAATGGTTTTGAGTGGAGAGCTTCATTTTGACCTGAAAGTAGAACATTTGGGGAATGGGGTGAGAAGCTGTGGATTTGTATTTAGAGATTCGAGAAATAATTTCAAGAATTGTGTTTAAGCAATCGAGAAAAACTGTAAATGGGATTCAATGCAGACCCGTTGCGATGGCTTCTGTAGATTTCACAAAACATTCAGCTCCTCATCATTCAGCTATAAACACTGTCTCACTTGGTGTAAGTCTCTCCCGGGTCATTTAGGCTGCAGTCTAACAAACCCTTTTCTAAAACCTTTTCAGAAATGCACATGGCTCATTTTCTTAGTTCCTAAACAGTTGAACCCAGACAGTTTACATGCAAATGTCACCTTTTGAGAGTTTATATATCATATGTATCATGCCTTATTAAGGAGGTAAATGGCAATGGAAAGTCAAAAACTGTGCTTAAACTAAGAATAATTAGTAGGTAAAATGTAACATTGGCTTATTCAGCCTGCAAGGGATGTATACAGTTACACCCCATTGTTTTACTCGGTTCTCCTAGTTTCTCTGCGCCAAGTTGCTGTAATTACAGAGAAGAGGTTAATCATTTTGTATAACTATAAGGCATTTTGTCACTTCAAAGCATGATTTGATTGATCTCTTTAGGCTCGGACTTCCTGTCTCCCTGTCTCCCTCTGATTTCATACATGGATACAAACTGACACAATTATGCACTCACTCTATCTCTCTCACACAACACATCTGAAAGCTCTTGCAGCTGGAGCACCATGAGTATTAGTGCTGACCAGTTTGGCAGGCAGCTGATCGACTCACATTAGGTAAATCGTTCTTAATTAGAGCTTCCAGTGCGTCTCCTATCCGTACCAACTGCAGCCAAACTGAGAAAGTTGCAGAGTGTGTGCCGAGGATATATTTAGCCTAATCTCTTCTCCTCTATCTGCAGCCTTCCTCTCTGCATATGCTGACATCGCTCTGAGCAATCTGCTGGGAACTGTAAGTACACACACCTCAAGTCATGTGTATATGAAGCAGCAACCGCCTAGTTTTTTCCATTGTGAATACTCTGTAGAGCTTCCAACTGATGGGAACTTCAGATGTTAAAGGGTGACGAAGGTGTTTATCACAGAAAAACATCTAGTCTTAAGCCTGCTGGACATAAACAGTGTGCAGTAGTGTTGTAGTACTCGAGACCGGTCTTAAGACCTAGACCAGTCTCTCTTTGGGAATATCAATAAATTGCTTTTGCATTGTCTGATTTGTCAACATCTTAACTTTGATTGGAAGTAAAACTCATTGTTTCAAATGCAACCAATAACCCTAATTAAACATGTGTTGTTCCTGTTCACGACTGTCACCCCTCCCTGCAATGCTTACGTTGATTTCAGCTCTTAGTGTTTGTGTGTGGGTGTTTTTAATGGGAATGTGGATCTTTCAGATCACTTTGAGAACTACCTATGATCTCGTTCCACATTTTATTGCGTGCCATGCAATGCAGGGAATTGGTCTTGGTCTTGACTCGGTCTCGCCCTCCCACGGTCTTGGTCTCTACTGCTCTCAGCCCCTAAAAGTCTTGGTCTTGTCTCGGTCTTGATAAACTCTGGTCTTGACTTGGTCTCGGTTTGGGCGGTCTTGAGTACAACACTAGTGTGCAGTGATTTTTTTCCTACATATTGTTTGCCTTTACTTCTTTGTTACATACTGTCTCATCCACTTGTTAAACATCCAAGAAATATTACATGCATCTTCCGGTAACACATGAAACCTAAGGAAATAAAAACCATCAGATGTAATATTATACAGTATGTAATTCTATATACCCTAAAGAACACATACATGGAAAAAAAAGCAAATTGTACACCAGAAAGAACTACTAAGCCTGATGGCAAATTTGTTTTGTCTTATCACCCTTTCTCCAATTAGCTGGCTAATTCAAGCTTTCCATATGTGAACATCTGTTTAATCATGCTTTTCTCTATTGCTTAAACACATTCCTTGAAATGAGTAAGTTAATGCTAAAAACTCTGTATATAAACTCTGAACTGCCTGAATCACTTCACTCTCTCTTATTCATTATTAAAAAAGGCTCTTTCCCTAGGTTGGTCTCCCAGCATGCAGTTGGGCAGCTACTCTGACAACCACGCTGATGTTGCTGCTGACCGGCAGTTTAGCAGCATATCGCATCCCTACTGGTCAAGTCATGGCCCCTGAACTCAACCTGTGCTCCCGCAGCCAATGGGAAGCCGGGAACGCCGAAGAAAGGGAGAGCACTGATGTGTAAACTCGAGGAGACAAACAGTGCTGTATCGGTACTTTGGACTGCTGTGTTGGAACAGCTGAACTAAACAAAATTAATTTTAGTATAAACATTTTATAAAGGCCTTTTTAGATATATTTCACCATAGGTTTCGATTTAGTACTTTAAGGAAGCCCTCTCCACATTTTGTTCACAAGGTGGCAATGCATGTTCAGCAATAAAATGTTGAAAATGTGAACGAAGTATCACAAAGTTGTTTATAAGCCTCGGTATCCTATCCTGCTTCTATTAAATGTGTAAAACTTTCTACCAAGTTTTGTCCACGGTTTTGCCACCTGTGTTAAAGCAGTACGTGTTTGTGTCCTGTGCATCTGTTTTCACTAAGAAAAGTAAAGAATCCAAAGAAACGGCCAATTTAAAGGAAAAGAACAACTTATTTTATTAATAGGCATGAAATCAACAAGTCAGTTTATTAAAATCATTCGTTGTTAAAATGACAGTTTAACTGTTATCATTGATGAAAACACAGACTGAATTCAATGGTAATTATATTTTATCCCCTTCATGACCCTGCATAGACAAATTACATCGCACTCCATTGGGACTCATTGTAAAAACAGACTGTACATGTACCTCAATACAGGCAGACAGGGAAACAATGAGTACACACAGACAACAGGAAATGTTTTTCTGAAATGGACGGAGCTGTCAGGTGCTTAAGCCAGGATGTTCAAGTCAACTGTTTGAATCATTGAAGAATTATTATTACTATTCACATTATTATTATCAAATCCTCTTAAATGAAAAGGTGGAGATGTTTTGATGTGGTTCATGATTAGACTGTCTTTTTTCACAGTGCTTCATGTTGCCTGTGTGCATTTTTTGATGTATATTGCCCATCAACATCTAATTTCCAAACGCACACATGTCCACATTCACACACAAACTACACCCCAGTCTAAAGATAAAAATAAATACATATTAAAATATTATTGAAAACATTATTTTCTTCTTTCCATACAGGACAGATGAAGTGACATTCTGCCACAAACAATGACGTCTTTTCTAAAATGTTTCTTTATATCATGCATTTATAGCTCAGTGCTTTTATTTATTTCTTTTTATTAATTTTTTGGGCCTAAATTCTTTCGTTCACAAACCACCTCACAGACAATGGTGATGAGGATGGTAACAAGAAGAAACATACAGAAGTGCCTCTCAGTCTGTGATTTATCAAGCATAATAAGAAAAAAAAGTAGAAATATAAATACTTGCACAAACAAACAGTACTTTTTAAGCTGCATTACAAAAAAAACGAACATTCGTAATTCTACGTACTTTCAGTTGAAGATTTGATTGCGAGTGCCGTTGTGCTTCTTTGCATGACTGTGCGAGTGTGTGCACGTGCGCGTGTCTGCCTGTATACTTGTGTGCATTATGAATCAGAATAAAGGCGGATTGACACTTGTCCTAATTAGTATGTTTTCACACACTTACACACACACACACACCATGTACAAAGTACCCACACATACATCATACATACTCGTACCACACATACAGTGTCCGACAGTAAAATGACGGAGCGGTATCTATTACATCCAATAGAACCAAGTGTAAACTTCAGATAAGTGTGTTTGTGTTTAATGTATCTTATCTGTCTGCATGATTGTTGTCATGCACAGGAAGCTGAATATATAACTTGTTTTTTATCTGATGAATTTTAGCATGCACTTGCATTTTGTTGTCATGGTTTCTCCTAAGACCTTATAGCTATAATGGCTGAGAAAAGTCCAATAAAAAATATTCATTAATGTCGCCATGTTGGAGCATTCCACTGAAATTATAAATGTATGTATGTGTCGATGTCAGTATACATGTACTCCTATGTTGTGTTCAGCTACGCAAAATTTTGTTGTTCATGCATGTAAACATTCATCTAAACCAAGTGTAAACAGTGACGCTTGTGCCTGGGTCCAGTCTGGTGTTGGCAGACTCTATTTAACCACCAGGACACGAGCTAGAACACAACATCCTAACTGTTAAGACAAAAAGTCATCATTTATGAACTAACACAGATGGAGCAGAGCACAAGATCGACTGTAGCAGCTTAAACCAGGTTGTTTACAGGACGGGGACATTTTATGTCATCTTAAAGGAAAAGCCATATTGGAAAATACGTTTATTCGTAGAGTTAGATGAGAAGATCAATACCACTCTCATGTCTAAATGTTAAATATGTAGATGAAGCCAGCAGGTAGTTAGCTTAGCTTGTCTGTTTCTTTCCAAAGCTAACACAGTCCACCTACAATGTGTGCTTTTTACACTTTGGTTTTTTGGGTTTAACATTTGCCCCTCTCCAGGTAGGTCAGAGGTGAGGTCAGCTCAGAACAGTTAGCTCTGAGGCTTATAAGGATTTAGTGCCTTGCTTAAGGACACTTCACCAGGGCAGATCCTTGAAGCCAGTCCAGCTATCATCAAAGACTCCAGTACTTGCCAAAAGTACCAAAAGTATCCCTATGGTCCCTTTTTTAATTCTTCTCTTTTATATTAATATAAGTTCTATATAGTTTAACTCCATCCATTTTTCAAGTGAGTATTTAATGAATTATGATCCTACATGCCACAGCACCAGTGGCTCAAAAATGTGCCTGCTGTATATCTGTTTATTCTCATATTTTCACTTGAATGTGGAAGAACGCAATTATTTTTTGCCACCAAGCTGTGAACACATTGCGAACATATTATTACCTTATATAGATGATGCAGAGAACGTGTTAGCAAACAGTTTACTTACACATCCAGCGAGTACAGAGCAACATTATCATGCATTTTAAGTCGTTTTTGTGGCTACCTCGGGAAATGCAACATTGACTCTCTGTTTTTGGTAATGTATTTGGTAGAATATTGATAATAGCCCCTTTAACAGAAAAGTTACACATGTGCAAATGCTGCGTGCCACAGAGGAAAAGTTGTAGCTGCTGAGATCTACTGCTCTGCTCACATCTCAAACTATTCTGTTGTTGATTTCCTTTTAACTTCTTGTAATCCATAGCCAGGGGTGGGATCTGAGAATGATTAGCATAGCTCTGCTGAAGGTTTAAAATCCAAGCTTATTTTAGATTTTGTAAATCTCTCACAAATCTCTGGGTTTATCCCCATTACTGCCACACAGTCTCAAAGGAATCCAGAATTGTTCCTTAAAAAAGGTTTTCTCTCTGGATGGAGAGAATGCAAAGCTTAACCGTCTGCTGCACTGTGTTTCAAACATATTTCTCTGTGTGTAAGTGTATATCTACTGGATGGGTGCAGTGTGTCTTTACATGTTTCTTGTGGTGTGTATATGTGAGTGACCATGAGTGTTTATGTGTGAGTGTCTGTGTTCAGAGCAGCCTGCCCAGCACCACTCCCTCTCTGCTCCTGGCTTCTCCTCTGAGGATCTCCAGGAAGCCCAGTTTTGTCAAGAACTCCAGCCTCTGACGGTCTGTCGGCTGCACCTCGCAGAACACACCCTGAGAACCTACGCACACAGAAAAGAAATGGTCGTAACACGTTATGTTTTTTCAAGACCGTAAAATGAAGATCTTGTTCTCCAGCTGCGGAATTGTAGCATTCAGAATTAATATCAGCAGTCAGGCAAATAAAAAATAAAAAATATATGAAACTATCTACTGGCAGACTGACACTGCCCGCACTAATGGAGTATGATAAGTGGTATTACGACACAACTACAACCCTCCATATTTTTCTGCTCTTCAGCCTTGAGCTGGTGAGCACCAATGCTAAAATCTTCAAGATAGTCCTCCTGAAAGGGTATTCACACACTTAGCAGAGGTATGTGAATGGCATTGGCTGACTGTACTTTTAGCATTCCATTTCCTACGTTCAGAGCAAATAAGACACGCAGACACTCATATAATGACTCGACACCCTGTCTTTACCGTTGGCCTTGAGTGCTGTGAGGAGGGCGGTGAGCAGCGTGCGGCTGACGCTGATGTCTACCAACTCAGGCAGGGCATCCAGTCGCAGCTGAGAGGGGAAGTGATACAGGAGAGAGTCTGGGTACTCTCCCTGGTCCTCCTCCATCAGCGTGATCAAGTCCTGCACAGAGGAAAACAGAGACACAAGGGCATTCTCACAATGCGTTGCTGATAGGTTAAGTTCTGGAAGTTCATTTTGTCCTATTCAGCTTAAAAGACTGGTGAGTGGTGGACATTTTTCTTTAGAGTGCTTGTTTTATGGAGGATGGTGGAAAAGGGTGTTGTTGTAATTTCCAACAGCTGCCACTAGATGATAATAATGTGCCATGTTGGACTGACTGCATCCACAAACTCACAAGGACAGGGTTTTTTCAAGTTACCCAGCAACCTAAGCACACAGTTATATACAGACAGACTGTACAAAGACTAATCATCATCATGTATTCAAATGTCCACATGCAATGTCTTGTATCAAAAGAGTCTCTGCTGTATCCACTACTTTTATTTTGTGTAAAACCTGTGTGATTAGTTTAATGTACTTCCTGTCTGGGAAATTGGTAAGCAGTTTTTCATAAAAAAAAAAGTCATAAAAATATATATCAAAGCAGAGTCAGCTAGACGACAGAGGACTAAAAATGTTTGTTAACTGTTCAGCTAATTCAACTTAGATAAATAAGTCCCTCAACTGCAAAACATTTTCTAACTTCATACACCTGTGGCTGCAGTGTGAATGATGTCATCCAAAGTAGGACTGTCAGTGTGTATCATGACGCACAGAGTGGGCAGATAAATCCTCCACAGATGTCAGAGGCTGATTGTCCCTGTTGCTCACCCCTGACTCTCTTTGGATCTCTGCCTGATCACTGAAATGTTTGTCACGATGGGAAACAGCAACTACAGCCAAGCTGTTATCTCCTCTCAGTTTTAACAAACATACGCTAAAGTAAGTGCTCTAATACATATCTAAAATTATTCAATATGTCTGAAAAGACTGACCTGTTCCTTGGATAAAATAACAAAATCATAGTCTAATACAGGGGTTGGCAAGTAAGTTCTTTTAGGATAATTTAAGCTGGACAGCTCAGTTGGTAGTCTTTAAAGATGAAATGAGACTGCTTCACAATAAAGCATGAATGTCTAAGCGATTGGTCCACATCCAACAATCTCTCACCCTTTCCTGGCTATTTCAGAGGTGTACTGAATGTGAGATTTGAGTCCCCTGAATGAGAAGCACAGGAATTTCCTCTGCCCGGGGATGCTGGGGAAATATCCACAGGTCGATGGATTCTTTATTGTGAGTCTCTTCATTTGAACTTTGTTGAAGAGGATAATGGAGATAATGTGGAGATCAAACACAAAACCCTTAAATAGAATATCCTGCGTTCTGCCAACAAGCTAACCAGGAACACTAAAAAAATGTACTAAGCTATCGTGTTATCTCGAGATCACAAGAAAATGATCCCGTTATCAAGGGAAAACAGAGTAAATAAAATGTTTGAATGGATGGCCGCTTAGGTCATCCATAGCTCACCCCTACCCCCAACTACTATCTATTCTTGCTGTTTACAACCACATCACTGTTACACTACATGCATCAGTAACACAGGTGTGCGTCTGCGTGTGTAACATGGCCCTTCAGAGTAACTGCACAGCTATGGTTAAAAAAGGGATTTTTAATGACTTCTGCTCCACCTATTCACCTGTGTGTTGGGGTGTGTGTTGCCCCCTTTGGGTGGGTATTTGTCCCTCATGGCAGGCAGCCAGCTGGCGTGGCACCGCTTGGCAAAGGAGCGAACATCCAAGATGCCCAACACACAGCCGCACACACCTAGTTCATCCTCCAAGATGAAGCTGTACTCGGGGCACAATGCCAAGCACGGTCCGAGACATCTATGGAAATGAAAAGACATTACTATTCAAAAAAGATGTCACTTTAGTGTTCTCATACGATATAGTATGTCCATTGTGGATTTTTTTTACAATGCAAAAGATTCCTCTGTCTCCTTTCTTTCTCTCTCTCTTTAACACACACCTGTCTCCTATGACATCTGGGTGAGTAGCACTGGAATCTTGGCCACCCTGAGTCCTCAGGTGGAGTTGGCGCACCATCCGATACAGCTCCACCTACACACGTGAACACACAAATTAACAGAAACAATATAAACATATTATTGTTTTAAGAGATGGCTACGGTTTCATGCCTTTGTATATTAGTCCATATGTTTCAGTGTGTAAATGTTGACCATCATACGTAATCTAATAGGAATCTAACACTAACTTATTAACGTTATGAAAAATAAAATGACAGTTCTGACTTCAAGTCTAGACAAAACCTAGTGTTGGAAATTATCACATTTATATATTAAAAAACGTTGAAGCATTAAACCTTGTGTTGTGCAGTCTCAATAACAGATACATAATTGTCTTTTACGTTGCATTGCGCCAGCTGTGAGCAGGAGATACAGCTATGTATTTCATAGATTAAAGCAGAACAACAGAAGGATGAATGCCCAAAAAGTTCTGGTAATGACATGAGTGAGGGAGAAACCTGACGGGGGAGAGATAACAAATGGCGTTCACTGTCTGTGTGTGCATGTGTGAGAGAGAGAGAGAGAAAAAAAGAGACAGAGCGCTTTGTTTTTTATTTACATGTAGGCTATATAATAACAGCCCATTATTATTACCAAATGGTTGTGTTTAACTTTTCTCTCGGCTAGGCTAGTAGTCCGAAGTGCAGGACTACGAGTGGGAGGAGACTGGAGCTAGATAAAAGAGGAATATTTATTGCGGTGTGGAAGTGATCGGAAATTGAGCCGGGGAAGAGCAGACTGGAAGACTAGATGCTGCAGAACCAGGTTGGTGGCAGCAGTGCAGTGCAGGAGGGAGCTGTAGCTGAGAGTCCAGTTGAGCAGGTTACGGGAATATTTTAACTGGACCAGGGAGTCCAGGGAGAGCAGATGGGATGAGCACTGCTTCCAGTAGCGGGAAAGTAACAACTCGTTATTATGTAAAGTTTGCTTTTAACTTTTAAATCGCCTACTAAATGTTCTTAAACCCCATAACTGCCACACTGCCATTGTCATCAGTCAGTTTAAAGTGCTCCCACACAGCTGTGAGCTTCATTTTGTTTTCCCTTTGATGTGAACAGGAGTTAAGTTCACTGCTGTGGGCGGAAGTCAGGCGTCAAGGGAAAAAATCAATATTCAACTCCCAAAATTGAAAATTGAATGGGTACCCAACGATCGAATATTCACATATTCAGGTCCAGCCCTACTTACCTCTAGTGTAAGCTGGTAATGTTCATATAGACTGTATAAAACAACGATTCAACCACTTGCTACCAACCACACATGTAGCATATAGCCATAGCTTTTTAGCCTTAGTCTAGGGTCAGCTCGGCTCCAACTCCAACGTCCTCAGAGGCCAGCATTTTGAGAGCCAAAAAGGCAATCAGTTAGTCAGTGGGCGTGGTTTTTTGACAGTTAGGGCGGAAGAAACAAAAATTATATGCGGTAAACAATAAGTGACAGCTGGTGATGAATGGTAAATGGTTTCAATTCACATGCATTTACATCACTGCCATTTTTATCATTTAATTATTTTTACTTTCACCTTTCATGGTTTTGTTTCCAAGTTGTTTTTCTAAAGAGGTAAATAGTGTGGTTTTTGATGCAGTGATTCTGTATACTGTAGCTGTAAAGAAACACGTCTTTGACTTCCATGATATTCCATGAATCATCCCGTTATTACTGTATGTGTGAAACAATTACACGTGTGGGTGTGCCTTCTCCTACCTTGTCCTTGCTGTGGTAGGGCCTAATGTTATAGAGACGAGAGGTAGGGAAGAGAGGAGGAGGATGAGTGAAGATTTCACTGCTGTTTCCTATTGGGAGAAGCATCTTCAAACCACATACACACACACACACACCGGAACAAACACAGTTAGGAAAGGAATGAACTTGAATGTCACATATAAGAATTTAAGCATACAAGCATGCACACATACACAAGAAAAACAGGAAATTTTTACAAAATTCATGGAAAATGTTTTACACCTACCTGCACCTCTCCAGACACGCCTCCTTTGAACACCCATGGCTCTGACTCCACTCCAAGTAGGTCTGCCCCTGTGGTCTTCCCACACCCTACCACAGACAAGAACCAAATTGCAGTCTGGTGACATCATGTGGGCCAACGAAAGCAGGTGGAAAATGTTCACACAGTTAAATAAACTTTAAATATTAATGTCAGACTGATTTTACTTTAGATTAAGTTATTTGTTAGCTATTTCACCAAGAAAAGGTCATGCCACTCACACTGGAAGCAGTTCCTCCAGGTTCCCAGGGTGGAGCTGTCACTTAAAACTCGTCCATCTGAGTAAGATAGGTGATTTAGTGGGGTTAGATTATAGTATATATTATAGTACAGTAAAATAAATAATAAGAAGATTGTATAGCATACAGTGGCATACTACTGGTATGCTATACCATACCATGCCATACTATACTATACTAGACAACACGATACTACTATACTATACATTTCGTACAGCAAACTAGCAGTATACTATAATGTAATATGGTGTACGTTTACCATAGTAGACTATATAGCACGTACCTTGAGATCCTCGGGCAGAGGTCTGTTGTCTGTTCCAGAGTCTCGACTGAAAACTAAAGGGGACAGAGCGTTTGCTGTCAGGGCCCCGAGGCTCTGGAACAGCCTTCCCGAGGAAATCAGGTCGGCTGAGTCAGTGAACTCTTTTAAGTCCCTTCTTAAAACATACTTTTATAGGAGAGCTTTTCCCGATCTTATTTGACTTTATTTTATCCCTTTTATTTTTATTGTATTTTACTAATTTTATATTTATCTGTATTATAGTCTTTTCAATGTTTTCTTGCTTTTATCTTGTATTGTTTTTGTATTATTGTCTCTTGGGTATTATTGTCTTTACACTTGTTAAAGCACTTTGTAACTTGTTTTTGAAAAGTGCTCTACAAATAAAGATTATTATTATTAGTATTATTATTATTGTGTTAAAGTGTATTACAAGATAGAATACAATAGCATACTACAGTACATACTGGTATACTATGGTATACTAGGCTATGCTAAGCTATAATCAACTATACTATAGGCTATGTTATCCTATGCTATAGCTTTGTATAGTATGGTACTGCATTGTATATTGTATATATTATATATATAATATTGTACTATAATAATACACAGCGTATTACAGGGTACTATAGTCTACTTCTGGTTAGCTATACTTTAAAATAAGTTATGATATGCACTAAATACATAGCATAATACAGTATAGTACCTATACTGTAGTATTAGTAGTCTAGACAGTATGACAATAGTAACAGCACAGTATACAGTTGTACAATAAAGTAAAACACATTATATTATTCTCTATTCCCATAGTTACAGAGCCCCCAAAGCAGGGGTTGGAAAGTAATTTTGGCATCAGGCTGATTTTTTTTTAAGCCATTAGATGGTGGGCCAGCACATAGTCAAAGGATAATTTAAGACTGTTTGCCAGTGTGCCAGGTAAGCTCAGTCGGTAGTTCATGGCACTGTCAATCTAAGGATTGTGTATGATCCCTGATTTGATGAGGCAAATGCTCACAATAACGCATGCGCTACAGTGTGTGGGAAACCATTTCAAAGCTGTGTCAAAGAAAGGCACAGACTCACAAGAAAGTATGTAGTGCGCACCAGATAATATCATGTGGGTGCGCATGAGAAACTGAAAACTGAGATAGTATCTTGTTTGCATAAGATAGTATCTTGTTTGCATAGGATAGTATCTTGTTTGCATAGGATAGTATCTTGTGAGTGTGCTTAAGAAAATTTCTGGTACACATGAGATACTATCTGCTGTACATGTTGGGATGTTTTGCCCATGTCCCCTAAGTATAGTTTACTGTCTCTGTTACTCTTTGGACTCACCCAGCCAGCATATGAATGCTTTAGCCACCAGAGCCGTGTTCCTCAGGTCCCACACATAAGGATAAAGATCATACAGCACAGCCCTATTGGCTCCGCCCACCACGCTGCAGTGGAGCTGTGCTATGTCTTCACACAGGGACAGGAATCCAGAGGCCCGACCGCGCCACTCATCAATCTGAGGACACACGCACATATACTTCTTATCAACCATATTCACCAATCATCACCAACAAGAATCCTACACAAAACCCACACTGACCTTCTGAGGCGGTGCCTTCTTGTTGTTAGCGCTGACCAGGTGGCAGTTTTCTTTCAACCAGGTCAGGTCCTGCAGCAGTTTCTGGGCAGACGGGCCATGCTCATGGGGCAGATAATGAAGACCAACCAGCAGTCGCACCTGGGACTCACTTAGTAGGCCCTTCCCACCACAGAGTCCCCGACCCTGGGCCTTCTGTCCCCTGAATCCGCCTGAAGGTGCTCCAGGCCTGGATCCTGGAGGTTGTTGATTGGGTTGATTAGGCTGGTTTGACCTCTTCTTCTCCCCCTCTTGTCCCTCCTTCCCTTCCTTGACCTTAGTGGGTGACGATGGGGGTGAGCTGGAGTTCAGGGGGAAAACAGGAAGTCTGGCCACAGCAGAGGTTCCTCTGCAGTCGGATCTGTCAGGTGTTTTACAGAGAGATGTTGGAGCAGAGGAACGTTGGTCTGATCGTGTGCTCTGCCGACCTGTAATTTTAAAAAAAACATAGGCTTTTTATTGCGCAACCTTGAAAATTTCAGTTTGCGGCCAACAGTGCACTGAAATAATCCAGGTAAGGTAAATTGACTTCACTGGTCCACTCAAAGGTCATGGCAGCAACTGTACAAGTAAAGTCTTAAAGGGCGTACTTACACTAGGCCCGGTTGCCTTGCACCGTGCCCAAGAACAATTGTCCCCCCCTCCCCACTCCCCCCCAGTGTTTCCCATACACTGATTATTTGTGGTGGCCTGCACAAACGCCGACCACCCCATATTGATATTTTTACTAGGTCTCTTTAAAATCGTATTTGATTGCAGAGCACATATTCGCTCAGCACCTTGTCTCACTTGCTCATTCGCTCCCTCTGTCTCTCATGAACACCACTGCATATAAGCAGTCGGTGTGGTCATCCACCTTAAAAAAAAGTTATTAGCAAACATGTGAAGAGGATAAGGATAGCTATGTTAACGTTAGATCACAGCTGGGTTGTCGAGGTTAGCACCAAATCATAATGTTTTACCTGCTTGTAGTGGTTGGTTGAGTTCCTCCATCCAATCACGTAGTGCAGCAGACAGAGCTCTATCTGGACAGTATTCACACTCCTCATCTACAGCACATACAACATTGTTTTATTTTATATTCAGATACTAAATTGCTCCTATTCATACAATACACAGTGCGGAAAACGCTCACTAATTCCTTTACATAATCACTCACTGCATTCCAGGTCAAACCGACCCGCACAAACCACACATACCATTTTATCTGCAATATTATGCATGACTTGAAAAGAAGATGCACACCTTTTCCAGAACACAACTTATCTTGTGTTTGCTGGTCTGTTGAAGCTACTATCAGTGGATGAACTGAATTGATAAAAATACATTTTTACTCCTTTTTACAGGACACTGAACACTAAAACACAGCATTTGCAATTGCTGTTTTATATTACATTTCTTTGCAAACATAACCTACTATACTTGGAAATACTGCAATATTAGGTCTCTTTTTGGAGAATGCACGTTCAGTGTGTAATATTTCTGAGGATCAATTGACAGAAATGCAATATAAGAACCATAACTATGCTTTCAGTGGTGTGTAAAGACCTTACATAATGAACCATTATGTTTTTATTACCTTAGAATGAGCCATTTTTATCTACATAACCGCGGGCACCCCCTTCTATGGAGATCGCCGTATTTTGTCGTCATGTTTCTACAATAGCCGACAGCGGACAAACAGAGCTACAGAGCGCGTTTCGTCATCACTTTCACATGCAAAATGTCCATTAAAAACATTGCACCGTTTTACCACAAGCTGAACTTATGGTTGATAGTACTACTTTGTATTTCTGTTGTATGTTAATAAATTTAAAAAATATATTTTGGTAAGATTTGCAGATTGCTTATCGAATTAAGCCAATGGAGAGGAGCCTTGATCCTCACTTGACTATGCCTTTGTAAACTTCATGTATTATGTGGTTTATAATGGACTGTGGTGCAGAAACAGTGAGGCTTACATTGTTCTGTTATCTGTCAGTGATCATACTTGATGCACTAGATGTGACAGTGTTTGAGATGTGAGATGTCATTTTCCCTGGTATGTTAGTGCAGATGAGCCAACCAAGTTGTAAAATACTGTATTACAGGAGTATGAAACATCCTGTAGCACTTCATTTCTTGAAGTGGCTGTTGTTTATTAATGAACAAATACCAATAATATTCCAAAAAAACATATGGTTTTACTGAATAATTAAGTAAATATAATTTCTTAATATATCTATCTAAAGAAACCTCATTTCTTGACTGGCAACTCTCTGCCATCCCATAGATGACATCTTTGTCCTGTCTCAGGCACCGTAGCTATACAACTCGCTTGGATAGGGGGGTGGATGCAATTCGCAGTATTAAATATGACAAACTCAATAACATAAACGAGGAAAATTTAAAAACTAGCATAACATCTACTTCAGCTCAATACTTAAATGCTAAATATAGAAATTGTATTACATGTCTAATCCCAACTCTGATCCTAACTCTAACCTAGAATTCCAACTCCACAAAATAGACATGGTTCCTGTTTTATATTATTTTAGTCAACGTTGGACCCCACTCAAACCAAAAGTTGGTTCCTGAATCCTGTAATTACTTCACATAATGCCAACAGCTCATCCTCCTCCCTCCCATGTAATCATTAAAATTCCTCTTCCATCTCCAACCACCTCACAGGCTTCAGCCTGCTCTTCATCTCTTTTATCATAACCTCCTTTAAAGCACGTTTCTCCTTGCTTCTCCTCCACAGAGGAACCTTCCTCTCTTCTCATTTCTTCCTCCATCACCACCTCTCCCTGCGCGGTCTTTAGGACAACATACACTACAGAGGTTCTCCCTTCTACATTTTTTCCATCCAACTCCCTTGTTTCCTCTTTCTCTCTCTGTTGGTGTTCTTGTGTATTTCTCTGTCACAGTAAATTAAATGCAATGAATACAAACTAAACGTCACATTAGCGTGATGGAATAATTAAGGAATATATACACTCTGTGTGAAAAAGACTATTATCTATAAACAATTTCTGTAAATATTACCACTTTGCTGTGAGAGCAGATGAAGACTGATGAAAGTGGTGAATTGTGCAATTCAGTAAAAGTGAACTATTTATATTCTGTGTAAATTTAGCCAGGACAACAGATGGAGCTAGTTAAGTTAATTTATTTGTTAATTAATATCACACAAAATTTCTGCCTAATTGTTTTAGTTGCTAAGCAACGCTGGCTGATTCAACATTTCTCCAGGAAGCAATGGGACTAACTGTACATGGCTCTGGTCTGGCAGAGCCAATTTTAGTTTATTAACCCGAGACATCACCTTCCTTCCAACTGCTCATTAATCCTCTTGCCTTTCTGCTCCATCCTTCCCTCCGCTGATCTCCTCACCTTTCTTCTCCTCTTCTCCAGCTCTGTACCAGCTTCCCAGCGAATGGAGAGGGATGTAGTTGGCTTCAAACTCGCAGTTGGGGTTGAGTAACAGGCCTCTCAGCTGTCTCCTCAGCTGAGGCTCTCGGCCCTTAAAAGGCCCCAGGAAGAGACGTCTAGAGTCATAGTCATTAGCATGCAGGTTGTCCCAGATGAGTGGGGGTCGCTGGAGGACAGCCTCGACCTCAGCCAGGCAGTCTACAGACAGTTTCCTAGAGATGACCTTACTGCCTGTGGAGTGAAAGGAAAAAGTTGACAAGTGGAAGCCTAAAGGTTGCAAGGTTTAAGAAAACAGGAGTGAGACAACAGGAGACTATAATAATAATAATAATAAACTTTATTTATAGAGCACTTACAAAGTACAAAGTGTTTCACAAAAGCCACACAGAAAGAGAGATGAAATCAAATACCACAATGAGTGATGAAATACCTGAGAGCAAAATAAAAACAGGATAAAAGAGATATAACATTAAAATAAAACATTTACTACGCAGGATATCAGAGGAGATAAAACGAGAAGAAAATCAGTAAAATAAACGGAAGGAAATGCTTTCCGATAAAAGTGTGTTTTTAAAAAACACTGACTCAGACAACCTAATTTCCTTGGGCAGGTCATTCCAGAGCCTCTGGGACCTGAGAGACAGGAGACCCCTGCCCAAAGATCTAAAACTACACAAATGTTCATAAGGAGTTAAAAGATGTAAAATATAATCTGGAGCCAGGCCATGGAAAAAGTTATCAATAAGATTTTAAAATTAATCCTAAAACAAACAGGGCATGCTGTCGAAGTTGTTCGCCTTTCTATTCCTAAGACACTTTCAGACCAATCAGTGTATTTGAACTTTGGAAAGCTTGCCCTTTTAATTTTGTTTTTCTTACACCTGAAAAGAAAGAAAAAAACATCAAAATCTGTACATTCATCGAAAGACCTCATTGAGTCCACTAGAAAAAGTATGTCTGACCTCTTCCACACTACTGAAGACTTTATCAATCAAAAGTGAAACAATTCTCAAAATGTAAAGTTTTGCTTCTCTGCATGTGAAGATGGTTGTTGAGATCTGATAACCATAAGGTATGCATGCATCGAGACGCCACTGTAGCATTACTAAACAAACTGATTGCTGCAGTGACAGAATGTTTTCTCTGACCAGGTGGAGGATCAGGTTTCACAAGATGCTATTGATCAGATAGTCCTTCTGGACTGTTGCATAAGAAATAAATAAACCACAACAACTATGTTACTGTCTCCGTAAATTTCTCACAGTGAAAAGTTCTCAGAAAGTTGGACAGTCCAAGTCCATCACAAAAGGGTGGCTATAAATATGCAATAAACTAAACTACACAAATGTTTAGTCCAAAGAAAACAATGCCAGAGCTGTTTAAAAGTTTGCAAGCCAGGGGAACAAATTTGCCACTAAATTTGCAAAATGCTCACTGCATTTAAGGTGTGAACAGGGCCCGATCTGACCCAGCTGCAGAAAGCACTGTGCATTTTTGGAAGTTAACAGGTTCTCATAGTCAGTGCACGTTAGCATGCCATGGTGGACGCACATAAGAGCATGCTCCCTCTGCCGGAGCTTATGTAGTATAGTTGGGTTTGTGAATCGAAAGCTTCCTGATTTTCCCCTGCTCTAGAATTTCTGACCTCAGCACACATGTGTTTTTGTTAACAAATTCTCATTCAGTTCTGTCATTCAGAGTAAAAGTGAACCACACCAAACAAACAATCAGCATTATATTTGTTCCTGACCAAAGCAACTGAACTAGCAGACTTTCCTGGTCTGAATGCGGCCTAAATTTTGACACGTTTCACTAGTTCAAACAAACATCATAATTGTGAACAATGTAAGAGCCCTGTAGAGCTCACAATTTAATCTGAAATTTTCAAGTGATAAAAATTTGTGAAACATGACACTGCCACGCAAATAAGTGCAGGCACAGAATCAACACACAACCTCCTCCAAAGACCAAAAAATATTTAAGTATATGTAAGTACAGTAAATTCACACATGTACGGGCATCACCTTCCATCTTTGAGTTCATTTTTTGAATTGTGTTGCTTGTTTTAATTTTTCTACCTCAGAAACGTATTGCTTTTATTGTCAGTACTTAAAGACAGTAAGATTTATGTCTGTCAGAATGGAGCCACTTTATACAGTGTAGTGAAGAAGACGTTTAAAGTTTTTATCAATTAACTTTTAATATTATATGCTTACATGTGTTTTTGTCTCACCTGTCCATATCACAGTTATGTCGGGCAGCAGGTCCTCTCCAACAGTCTGCAGGTAGGGAGACTTTGATATACTGGGAGAACACAGAGAACCACAGTACTCTACAGGGAGAGAGAAAGAGAGGTATATTTCATATTTTTAAACTGCCCATTTCAAGTTTTATAAGGTTCTGTAGACCAAAAATATTTCAGCACTCCCACCTGTTGGGCAGAATAGGAAGACAGGCGGTTCCCCCAAGAACCGATACATCTCATTGGTTACAGTGACCTGAGCATGGGCGAATGAAGAAAAGGCCTCGCTGTCGGCCTGACACATGGAATGATCGATGTCATCAAACAGAATGGCGAAAGCCTGGCAACCCAGGTCTGATACCTGGAGAGAGAGATGAGATGAGAGAAAGAGAGACAGACTCAAAAAAAGTACAAAAAGTTACATTCCTGTAGTGTTGTAGTACCTTACAGTTTCATATACCTGTCTCAGCTTGCGCTTGAGTAGTGTCAGATCACAGGAAGAAGAGAAGACGATGTCCTGACCAGGAGAGAGGGCGTAAACAAACTTCAGGCCTCTCAACTGGGCTTCCGCTATGAGAGTACGCAGCTGACCTGAGAGGTGGAGAGTAGAGGAAAAATCTAGTATATCTAGTTTAGACACACTGTCCAGTGTTTGCAAACACTTTTAAACTATGATTACAGATGTTTAAACAACACCAGACTCTTCATATCATATGTATGTATCTTATCTGAATTTTATATCTCTTATGAACTCAGCTTGGCTTTAAATCACCAGGCCTCCATATTAACGTCTACAGTCTTCAAGGTACTATAAAATAAAAGAATGAGCAACAAAAAACTGCTGACACCTTTAGGGTGGTAATGAAGAATAAATGGACAAATAAATGTCAAAAAGGCAATTTCATATTTGGGACAATGAATTTTCTGCCCGATTGAAGACAGAATTTCCGAGGGCTGTTCTGGGGTACGTTTCCCAAAAGCACCGTTGCTAACTACGGTAGCAACTTATGTTGTTGGAACTATCCAGTTGCGACGCAACCATTTCCCAAAACCCAAGCTCGAACTATGGAAGTAACTACGTTGGTAAACATTGTCGCAAACATTGTCTTTAAGTGGTATAGTTCGAACTACAGCTCCTGACCTGTGGTTAGAAGCTTAGTTCAAGGTGCTATGTCAGAAGGATGCAGTCGGGGTTGGTTGCAATATCGTGAGTAGGCAAGGAATGTTCGATAATCTTGCTGTTAAAACATATTTCAAGTTTTTTGAAAATACAGTTGTAAAAGTACTTTTAAATGTAGTGTTTGTTGTGTCATGGGCAGGGTTGCATCATTTCTGCAGGTGATTTCTCACAGATTACCCATCTGTTCAAAACAATATAAGTCACCCAAAGGTAAAAGGACAAAGCAGAGCATGAAAAAGACCGGACTTTTAATATTCCCTTCATGTGTATGTGTGTACATTTTTAGGCCTATGAGGAAGATGGGTGTCCTCTAGGCTTCATTATGAACATATATAAGAAGAGAGCATACAATTCATTGAAGTACTGTAATGAATCAATCCCTGATCTGCCATTAAGACAAAGACATTCATGGGATTTGAACCCGTGTCTGTCTCAATAGAAAACCTCCCCAATCTCCCCCATCTATTGCACTGAGCTATTCTGAAGACTTATGGAACAGTGTCGGCTGAGCCATTTATAGTAGTGTTACTGTTGAAGATATTTCCAGATTAAACATATTTCACTGAATGTTTTGTAATCGCTAATAGGTTTTTATTTTTTCTTCTTCTTTTCTTATTGCTATAAAAAAGTTAAATATTTAGGCTAAACAAAATATTCAGTTATATATTATTTAAATTGTTGGTTTTCTTGTTATTGCCAATATATGACTATAATATGAAAATAATAAGTCAGCATAACAATGACACTTAATATTGGGCACAACTGTCGTCTTTAGGCATAATATGACAACTTTTTGTCAGTTTTGCCAGTTTCCCCTGCTATAAAAGTCTGATGAACACATCTGGAAACATGTTAGATCGAACTACTATGTTGGTTTAAACTAAGTTAGTTCAAACCACGGTGGTACCAACAAGGTACGACAGTTTTGGGAAACGGTCATACTTCACACTTCATACATGCTTCGTTAGTTTGACAATGCATCGTACCAAGATAGCTTAATCCTTCCGTCATTGTATGGGAAACGCACCCCTGGTGCGTATCTGAAGCAGGTTCTCTAGTCTGCAGTCAGTCTGCAGTATATAGTTCAGGTCTTTGGGGTCAAATTATCTTAAAATCGTGAGAACTTAAGAGGGCATTGAATTAGCATTGTATTCACTATGTCAAACTCGTGATGGACAGTTTGAAAAAACACTGATGCAGCAGAACCAGAGATGTCGTCTGTTTTATTCAATGCCTTTTTCCTTCCTAAACCATGGCGCCTACATTATCTATAATGCAACTCAAACCACATTTCAGTTGGATATTCACGTGTGCTATTCTAGTAGCAGCTAATGTAACCGCTAGCCTCTAACAGAGGTGAGGAGCAGGCTACAAAAAGGTCTACTAAGCTCACTTCTTTTGAAATCCCCAGATTTTTTTTCTTTCTTAAACTTGTAGTTTTCAGCCACACTGACCCTGACTCAAGTGACATCACTTGAGGCAATTTAAAAGACTCCATGCAGCTCCCTCTGGAGCCGCAGAAGGCTTTATACAACATTTTTCAAATATGTAGCAGCTCTCCCTAACAGCTTTAAATAGTCTTTGATGTGTAAAATTGATGAAGTTCCACTTTAAGTGATTTCAATATTACATGTCTAGCTTAGTAGGAAAACTTGGATGCATAAATATGTGGCTGAATGGTTGAATAGATAACCTGACAGATAGATAGATGGGTGTATGGGATGTTCTTACCCTCCTCTTCAGGAGAATAGACTTCTCTCCACAACAGTCTGTGTTTCAGGTCATCTTTTGGGCCATACAGGTAGGTGTTCAACCCCCAGTGCTGCATCCTGGCACAGAAAGCCATGGACAGAGGAGGCATGGGGAGGGAAAACGTTACTGGAGTGCACCACCACAATGAATTGCGTATGCATCAAGTTTTGACAGTTGCTTTGTAAGAATTTATTTATGTTTTATTTTATGTTTAATTTTGAGCAGTTACCAAGTCCAAAGGTGATCTGGCATTTTCTTGTCCAGAGTTCAAACTGTCACTTTTTATATTATTTCTAAAAGCCTTAGTAAAGGTTTAAAAAGAGCTTTTCAAATGAATTAATCTGTTCTCACATTGCAGCTCACATTTCAATTTGATTTGAAGTCTGTGTAATTCTTTGTTAGTACTGGTACTCGCTGGTAAAATGTATTAATTTTACCCAATTAGGATCTCAGGAATGAAACATTATAAATGAAGTTAAGACAAGAGACCTACAGTGTGTGGGATTTTTGGTTTCTTTCACAGTCAAGAGGGGAAAAAATGGAAAAACAACAAGCAGCAAGAAAATAGATCCAATGTATCGATCGTGGGGCTTCATGGCCGTCTCTGTTACAGGAAATGACCTCCTGAATTAGAAATAGAGCATAGTACTAGAAGTGAAACAATATCTGTATCACACACACACATACACACAAAAATATGAACATTTCGCTCTCAGCTCTTGCCTTCTTTGTCATTTGTAGGTGGACTATGTTCTCATTCCCACCCTGCTTCATTTCCTGGACAGATGGTACATAAGTCGCCTCCACAAAGCTGCAACCTACCTCCCTCAAACGCAGAATCAGATACACACACATGCATTTACATACTGTACACTCACCCACAGCCCTACTCTAAACCAACTTACGCAACACTCAGTGTATGAATTTTGCCCAACACTTGAGTCTAAAACAGACGATCTATAAATAAACCTAGAGCCCACACATTCGGCTGCTGCTACACTGACAACGATTTGGAAGTCAAATTCATCCTCATAGTCCCTCTATAAAACAGCGACGGCCTGTTTCACAAAGCGCTGCCAGTCGCTGCATCTGTACAGGCTACATGCATCAAGCAGCATCTATCATTTGAAAATCAATCATCAATCCATGTGCTATGATGATTTGTCAGTTTGTTTAAGAGCAGTGAAAACATCTTATCTCTGGGGAAGTAGTTGGTTCAAAACTGTTGTGGCAGTGTCAGTAAGACCTGCCTTGGTTTGTTTAGTGAAGATTGAAAGAGACTTGGCTCATGAGCCTGCTGCCTTGATATTTGATTAGTGTTTCATTGAGCGCTTATACTGGATAGAACACTTGATTATGTTGAATGTTGATTTTATACGCTTTGGTCAAAAATCTTTATGTTGTCACGATTCTTGCAAAATACAGCCTTTTATGGCACTACAGTGATATCGCTCCGCACTCTGTGGCCACCAACGAGAGTGTGGTTGTGCTGAACAGCTCCCTGGTGTGAAGGTCTCTGGCATGGAAAAAATATGTTGCTAAATAAAGCGCCATGGGCACAGAAAGATATTCCCTTTGTAAAGGCTAAGAGGACACATACTGTATATTCTGTATTAAGATGACATAATTATACTAATTCTAGTTTAAAGCTAGAGTGTGGGACTTTTCCATAAGTCAATGTCATTCAAGCCTTTGCCGAATGAGTTCACACAATGCAGACTAAGCCTATCACCATCCATTCATCCTTCAAAACAAAGCAGCAGAGTATGGCAGAGTTTTCTTACCACAGAATTTCATAAGTTTTATTGTAGCATTTAAGTGACACATTGTGATCTAAAACTTTTCAATCCTAAGAATAACATTCAATATTTGTTTGTTTGTCTGCAATGGACTGGCGACCTGTCCAGGGTGCACCCCGCCTTTCACCCGATGCCAGCTGGGATCGGTTCCAGCCCCCATCCATGGATGGATGGATTTGTTTGTTTGATTTTTTAAACCCACAAACACGCTAAGACAGATACTGGTCCAACCTAAAGACCGCATGCCCAAACACAAGAAAAGCAATCTAGTTTATGCCGTCCAAAGCAGTGAGGAACGCGTAGACCTGTATATTGCTGAAACGAAACAACCTCTACACAGAAGGGCCAACGCTTCAGGTCAAGACTCAGAAATTTTCTTACATCTGAAGAATAAAGGATACTCTTTTGAGGATCTAGTATGTAGATATATTTTAGAAAACACACAAATATGAACGTCATTGTGACACTAGGGGAAAAGTCAAAGGATCAACATTTATCAGGACCAGGGGTCAATAGGACTTTACTGGGCACCTGAATGTCTGCATATAATTTCATGGCAATACATCCAATAGTTGAGCTCTTTCAGTCTAACTGACTGTTAGACCAACATTGCCGCTAGCATGGCTTAAAACAATATCTATGGAACCAAATGATCTGCATCCCATCTTTGATCCTCTCTCTCCCCGTCCTATCGTCCATGGCTGAGTCTCAGAACTGAGAATGAGCCTGCTCTTTCTCTCAGTTCTGCCTGGCACTGAAATAAGAGGCGTGCAACTGGAATCAGCCCACGGGCGTCTGGTCTGTAGCTCCTGAGCTTACACTGTTCACGTGAAGAAGAAGAACACAACACAAAGACATCCCCTGTGTACAGGATAACAAGATATCACGGACACCTGTGCTCACATACATACAGCACAGTACATGCAACCCTGCAGACACCAGGTGGAAGAGAGCGGTGGCAGACTTACCATTGGAAGAGAACTTTCCTCTGATCCATAGACCAAGGCCTCCCATAGAAACCTGCAGAGGAAAAAAAATAAGTAAATTGGTGCATACATGTTCCTATAAATCTACAGTGTCAGATATACATGATCACTGACATAATCACTTGTAACTGATGTGTTTACTATTATATGCATTAATTGTTTGTGGAAATCACTGTGATCACTGAATATGCACCATGGCATATATCTTATCATGTGGTTCTCTGAACAGTTATTTTGCTCCAAGCTTTGCAGCAATTAATCAAAGACTGCATATTTATCAGCTCCTGGACACTATGAGGACATTGGACACTATGAGGACATTACAGCTACAGTACTGCGTGTATGGACACATAAAAGGATGCAAGCTCCTCCTGTGCTTACTTGGTCACATCCCCTCTGTGTTTGGCAGAGGCATAATTCATCTCCAGCTACACTCTCCACCACTTTCTATTTTTAGAAATGGGAGCATCTCCAGTGTCCCTCTTCCTCCTTTGTGTCTTTTTAATAAGTCTGCAATATGTGTGTGTGTGTGTGTGTGTGTGTGTGTGTGTGTACAGTAAGTGCGAAGTAAATCTGATCCACTCAGAATCGAGTGTTTTCTCCTGCGTGCCCGTCCAGAGAGTGTATTAATGGTGTGCGTGTTTGACATGTGCACCTGTATTTGCCCTGTGGCGTGCTCCCCACCAAGCCAGACCCAATTACTAACTCAGTTGGATACCACCACATGGAAATGAGAAACACATTTGAGGGGTCCCAAGATTTTGTAAAAAAGTGTGTGTGCGTAAATATATTGTCATTGTTATAACCTGTAGGTGTAACCTGCATTATCACCACTGCTAGTGTTGTTATCTCCTCCTGTTCATCATCATCATCATCATCATCACTATCATCACAATTATTCCCATCACCAACATCATCAGTACCCTTCATTGGCGTTTTTTCATTTAAGCCCCCAAATTGTCCTTTTCTTCATTGTTTTCTTTCATTCTCTCATCATCATCTCCATCATCATCACTACTGTCATGTCATCCCAACAAACATCCTCACAGTCTTACCATCATTATCATAATTACCATCTTAATCCTCATATTCACCTTCACCATTATTGCCGTTATCAATATCATCACATCATCCTATTTCCAACATTATCATTGTCACCATCAGCATCATCATCATCATCATCACTACCACCAGCCATTATCCAAAGCATGTCTTTTCCTTAGAGTCAGACATTATTGAGTGCTTTTCATCGCCTGCTCTTTGATCTTCACTTCAACCCTGGCTGATCTGCACCACATCACGTTATAAAGACCTTATTATATTCTAACTACGTCAGTGTTCATACATAGCACCACTCCCACGCCCTCCTTTATCCACAGTAAGCGACAAAACAATGCTAAAATATAGGTCAAACGCTGGTCTATTCAAAATCATCTCCCCGGGGTAAGAAAGCAAAAATCACATGATCTGACAGGAGGTCAGTTATGAAGTCGGCCGCTCTTACCTTCCACCACCCCACAAAGAAACTGCTTCCTCTCCTCCATCCTGTCCTCCCTCCGCTTCCAGTCGGCCCTATCAAGCGAGGGAAGACGAGATGCTCGCCCCGTCAGTCAGCTTAGATACCGGGGATCCTCTTCATGCTTCTCCTCGATCTGCCTCCACCCTCCTCCTCCTCTCCTTCCCTCTACATCGCTGGAGCTCTCGTGCTGCATTCAGGTACTCAGCTGAAGCTTCGGCTTTCGAGTACTTCTAACGCTGATGACAGTAATAAAACTAAATAACAGTGTGACCCTACAAAGGAGCTTGTTTTAAGAGTTTTTTTTCAGCTAAATTATCAGAAAGAAGTGTATACTGTATTCACATACAAAGATAATTTAGCTTACAAAAAAACTGCAGAGCAAATGTGCTAAAATAGAGAGATAACCTGACCGTAAAAATTTAAAGATATAACTCAGAATTGAACAAAAAAAATGTTTTCAATTTCAAAACACTTTATTTATCCCCATGGGGCAATTCAATTCAATTTCAATTCAATTCAATTCAATTCAATTCAATTCAATTTTATTTATATAGCGCCAAATCACAACAACAGTTATCTCACAGCGCTTTTCATAAAAGAGCAGGTCTAGACCGTACTCTATGATGCTATTTACAGAAGCCCAACAGTTCCCACCAAGAGCAAGCACTAGGCGACAGAGGCAAGGAAAAACTTCCTTTTAAGAGGCAGAAACCTCGAGCAGAACCATGGCTCAGGGTGGGCGGCCATCTGCCTCGACCGGTTGGGGTGAGAGAGAGAGAGAGAGAGATGTAAGGAGAGAGAAATGTAAGGAGAGAGAGAGGGGAGGGAGGCAGCCTACACAATATACACACAGAGGTACACACAGTGAAGGTAATGTTGCTATAGACTAAATGAAAAATGGTACAGATATTTATAATAGTGTTAATGGTAACCATCGTAATGTTAATGATTATAATAACAATAATAACAATAAGACTAGCAACAATAGTCGTTGCAGCAGAGGGTGTCGAGCAGGAACACGGGGGCAGCAGGTGACCCGCAGCCACAGCTCCAGACTCCACAGCTCCAGAGCCAGAAAACCTGCAGGAAGTGATAGGAGGAGAGAGACGAGAAAGCACAAGACAACCAGAAAGGGGAGAAGTTGTGTTAGTAACATGCAATAATGGGATGAGGCTGCATACAGAGGGAGAGAAAGTAGAGGAGAGAGGAGCTCAGTGCATTATGGGAAATCCCCCGGCAGTCTAGGCCTATAGCAGCATAACTAAGGGATGGTTCAGGACTCACCTGAGCCAGCCCTAACTATAAGCTTTATCAAAGAGGAAAGTCTTAAGCCTACTCTTAAATGTGGAGATGGTGTCTGCCTCCTGAACCCAAACTGGAACCTGGTTCCACAGGAGAGGAGCTTGATAGCTGAACGCTCTGGCTCCTAGTCTACTTTTGGAGACTCTAGGAACCACAAGTAACCCTGCATTCTGGGAGCGCAGTGCTCTGGTGGGGTAGTAAGGTACTATGAGCTCTTTAAGATAAGATGGTGCCTGACCATTGAGAGCTTTGTAGGTAAGAAGAATGATTTTAAATTCTATTCTGGATTTTACTGGAAGCCAATGCAGAGAAGCTAAAACAGGAGAAATGTGATCTCTTTTCCTGGTTCCTGTCAGAACACGTGCTGCAGCATTCTTACTTTTTCGAGCAGCCTGATAACAAGGAATTGCAGTAATCCAGCCTAGAAGTAACAAATGCATGGACTAGTTTTTCTGCATCATTTTTAGACAGGATGTTCCTGATTTTCGCAATATTACGTAGGTGAAAAAAGGCGGTCCTTGAAAAATGTCCTGATCAAAGATAACTCCAAGATTCCTCACAGTGGTGCTGGAGGCCAAGGCGATGCCATCCAGGGAAACTATATCTTTAGATAATGCGTCACGGAGGTGCTTAGGCCCCAGAGCAATAACTTCAGTTTTATCTGAGTTTAACATGAGAAAATTACAGGTCATCCAGGTTTTAACATCCTGAAGGCACATTTGAATTGCGAGACCCGTAGATTAGTACAAGTTAAATAAAGTCATCTTTCATAATAGACATAACCTAATATATTAATAAATGAATAGACATATATCAATGTTGTCAACAGGTCCAAATCAGCATCACTAAATGAAATAAAATACATTATCAACATAATTAATTCATGTACTGTATAGTTGGGTTGTAGTAAAAATAAATAAATTCAAGACATTATGCAGCCCTCTGCGTGGCAGATGGCTGAGCTCATAGTCCGGTATTGCAAGTATTTAAGGATCACTAAATATTTATTAAAGTATTTATGAATCACTAAATGAGTGTGCGTGTACTTGTATGTTTGAGTGTGTGCAGGGGAGTGAAGGAAGTAGTGATCGGGGTAAGAAGGAGTTAAGGGATGGTTGGGAGTTTAGGAGCTGGACAGCCTTAGGTACAAAGGTTGCCCTTCTCCTCTGAGGTCTGCAGCAGATGTCCTGAGGGGTCCTGTAGAATCCTGCCAGCTAACCTCAGAGTCTGCTGCTCACATACAGTGGAGAGGGCTCTGACTGGAAGTCCTATTATTTTGAAACAGACTTTAGCTGAGTTTTGCAGGCGGTTTCTGCTTTGCAGAGTGATGGAGTGGAACCAGCAAGAGATGGAAAATGTCATAACGCTCTCAATGAAGGAATAGTAGAACATTTTGAGGATGACCTTGCTGACCCCAAATGAGTTGAGCTTCCTCAGGAAATAGCGCCGCTGCTGGCATTTCCTGAGGATCTCCTTCGTGTCTGAATTAAATTTCATCAGATTGTCGAAGCTTGTGCCCAGCTACTTGTGTTCCTCAACAATTTCTACAGACTTCCCATGGATAGTGGAACAGCCTGCCACAGCCAGTTCCATCTGCTTGTTGGAAAAGGTCACTGCCATCTCCTTGGTCTTTTTCATATTGAGTTCTAGACAAGATTTATCACACAATTCCACGAACTCCTGAAGAGCTGAGCTGTGGTGCTGTAGGGAGCCTGAAAGCAAAGATAGGAGAACTGTGTCATCGGCGTACTTTACCAAGTGGCAGTTTGACTGGGCGGACCTACAGTCATCGGTGTAAAGAATAAAAAGCAGAGGTGAAAGGACACAGCCTTGCGGGGAACCAGCTGATGTGTACAGGACATCAGATAATGTGTCATTGACCAGAACTCTCTGTGACCTGTTGGTAAGGAAGTCGATTATCCACAAAATCAGTCTGTTGTCTAGGTAGAAAGTAAAGTTTCTCAGCTAGAATATGTGGCTGCATGATGTTAAATGCCGAGGAGAAATCAGCGAAAAGGAGTCTGGCTGTCGTGTTAGGAGAATCCAGATGTTTATGGATGGTGTCTGTAATGAAAACCTTTGCATCGTCCACCCCTCTACCTGCGCGATAAGCAAACTGAAGTGGGTCCATCTGTGAGTCTGTTATCTTAATAATATGATTTTTGTTGACCCTCTCCATAGCTTTCTTGGCTAGAGAGGTGAGGGCCACTGGCCTGAGGTCGTTCATGATCTTGATAGCACCTTTTTTTGGTATGGGAATAACTGTGGAATCCTTCCACAGCTGAGGGACTGTGCCACCATCCAAAAAACAACAACAAAAACAGTAACCGTAACAGTAAAAACATTAATAATATAATACATTATTAGGCTACTATATTTAATAGCTTGTGCATTAAATGGGGAACACTTTTTTCTGACTTAAATTAAGTAAGCTGTCCGAATAGAGCGGAGTACGGAATCCCTAAGCAGCCATCGATTCATATCTTTATTTAACTCCGTTTTCCCGTGATAACGAGATAATTTTCTCGGGATCTCGAGATAATAAAACAGAAGTTTAACAAAGGGGTTGGCAAGAACGTTTCTTAATGGTAATTTCAAGGTGTATTTCATGTCACTGATTAGCTCAGTGATTAAGGTGCACGACCCAGAGTCTTAAGATTGTGCGTTTAATCCTCATAGAAGATCATCAACTAAAAAAAAAAAAATCTTTTCCATATTCCTCTTCAACAAAGTTGTTATGAAGATGACTGATTCACATGCTCACAATTAATCACGTGCTCGAGTGTGCGCATCCCGGCGATTGGTCTACATACATCAATCTATAAACTTTTTATTTCCCCATCATTCCCAGGCAGAGGAAATTCATCCGCTTCTCAAAGTTTCTGATATAGCCGTCAGGAAATGTGTAGTAAAATGGATTCACCTGAATCTCTTGATAACAACTTTGTTGAAGATAATTATTAAAAAAACACACAAAAGAAGAACAAATAAACTTTGCAAAGAGCAGAGGTAGAACCTGCAACCCTTGGGGTGCAAGTCCTGCACACTACCAACTGAGCTAAATGCTGACTCAGTAAGGTCACTCGAAAATTATCGTAAAGAAATGCATCTGCCCACCCCTGCATTCAGCTGTCACGAGATAATTATCCTGTTATCACGAGAGAGTATATGGGCTGTTAGAGAACTTCCACACTGTTTACAAAGGCCTACTGTTATAACTCCCAGCACTGTTAAGTAGCCTACTTCTGATGCTGCTACTATTTAATTATATAGGCCTTCACATATAAGGTGCATATAGGCTTCTTCGGATAGGCCCCTTTATAATGCTCTAGTCACACTATGCTCACTCCGCCTCACTGTAACAGATCACCTCTGTCTCGCCTAGTGTCAGAACTATGGCGTCTCGTCTTTTCAGTTAAATTATTGTGACTTCTTTTATTAGCACCTCCGCTGATATAACATTAAAGTGCAGCCTATAGTAAAAAGTGTGTTTCATTTTTCAAACATTTTATAATGAGTTCATAGAAAAGCATGTAGGATAAAACAAAACCCAAAGGGAACACTACATTAACAAATGCAACAAATGGACGTCGTTAGGCCTTTTTCAGGGAGGCTGAAGCTGCAGTTGTTAATTAAAGTTACTTGTTTAACTTTAGCCACGCTTACTTGAGGTAAAGGAGAGGGGATATTTTATTTGGCTATGGAAAACAGTAGGCGTGTACTCACTTTTGTGAGATACTGTATATAGTAATTGTTACTCCAAATGTTTTATTCCTTCTGCTATCAGGTTATTAAAGCACAGTAGCCACTTTAAATAGGATCCTTATCAACAGCTTACCTATTTTGTTCCATACAGCATTTCAAATACTCCTTCAATGTTCTACATGAATCAAATATTATTTCACACATATACTGTAGTTAATTCATAAAATAAAAGTAGCTATAATTGGTTCTGTGCTAAAAGTGAAACCTTACCATGAAAATAATGCTGCTTCTTTTCAACTGTTTCTGTAGGCAGCAGTTCTATAAGTTTTCCAATTCACGTCCCTGCTCAGACAAAATGCTGACTTGCTTACTCACACACCTTTCTTTTTTGTGGTTTCAGTGTTTTTTGTTAGATTTTGTTTTTTTTGTTACATAATTCAGATTATACCGGTAGTTGTGAAGGCAGCATCTACCTCTGCTTCCAGCACCACCCGCAGATTTTTGTCGAGATTCAGGAACGGCCTGAGTATCTCAAGGTACGTGCTGGTGCATATGGGACTAAAAGATCAGATATATAACAGGCACAAGGAAGAGCTGGATTTACCAGCAGTCTTAAATAAATTCTAGGATTATGTTGATGTGCAGAAATTAGTTCAGAAAAAAGTGTGTTCTCACATCATTAATCATTTTATTTATTGTAGGTTAAAATAACTACCAGTTAACACGTAAGTTAAGTAACGTTACACGATTACGTAACTTAAATAAAAATATTTAATGTAATACTTTTAGTTTCACACGTGACATGAACACCGGTCTCCTGGTTCAAGTCCGGTTTCTGGCACGCCAACCACCCCATACCCCCCAAACCCCTCCTTCCCAGTCTTTTCTGTTAAATATCATATCCCTACCTTTACTGTCAAAAACTGACAATACAGGGCTTCCCCCACTGCGTTCAACTATGATGCTATAGGGATCCCCAGTGCGTTACAAACATCCACATGTGACTTGGGAGTGAGAACAGGCTGTAAATATCTAAAACTGCTGTTTTGTGTCTGTATTTTTGGCGTTTTTTAGAGATTATACATTTACAGACGGATTGTTAATCTTTTCACACAAATAATATTGAGATAAATCTATCTCTACTGCATACAGTAATGAATATCAATGAATTGCCAACGAGCATGTAACTTAGGAGAAGAATGTGGTATAGCCTACCTGGGTACTTTTCAGGTGTGGAGGTAAGCAGAAGCAGGATGTGCAGCAGGATCACCACCATGCTTATAAAACCTTCTCTAAACAAATCAAAATAAAGCCTACCTGGCAACAACACAAACAGGGTGAGAACTGAACAGACAAGTGGAAAACACATAAAACCAGCATAAGGATGGAGGGTGGTTTGCTGCCTTCACAGATTATTGTGCAGGTGATTTAACCCCTCAGTATGCCTAGTAGCCTACCTTAACATGACATGAACATTTATTTGCCCCGGTACCTCTCTCTGCTATAGCTGGCTTCTTTGTGATACTGCTTTTGCTCACTGAACAAGAGTCTGCCGCTTAGCAGCGAAACAAAAAATTTGAAAAATAAAATGTCGCCCAAGTCAAGATTTATTTAACAAAGATCCAAAATACACAATGTGGTTTTATCTAATGAAATATTCTGCTTCAATCTATATTTGTTGGCATTTAGACTTTTATAAACTACATTTTCACTGTGGTCAAAAAACTGTTTGCTCTCCCGCTTGCTGCACACAAAGGGAGGCACACACCTGTATTAATGGGGCGATTAAAGAAAGTTGATTTAATAAAAACATCCAAACTCATTTACTATGATGAATTACTTTATTGAAATTGAGGATTTTGTTCAAGGAATTTTTATGATCATAAAATCATCATAAAATATGACAACAGACATTCAAAGCTTCATTCAAAAATCTCAGTAGAAGCTTAATACAGCACTAAGTAGGCTAATAGCATATTAGACACAACAGGCTGGACAATGTCATCCATGCAACAGTGACTTTATCACCAGCAGCTCTGCTTTTGTGTTTTTGTTGTTTTTTACACAAATATCATCATAAAAATGTATAATAATGATAAGTGTGTACAGTTTGACACATCAAAAGGTCTTATGAGGACATTTATTTGGCCCTACTCCCAGGACAACATAACTGTGAGGGAGTGGCAGGTGAAATCTTATGGCATACAGTATGTGGACTATCTTCCTCTGAACATAGCATAATGATAATAAAAGATTTAATCATTACTCCATACAGACTAAAGCTTTCTGACAAAAGTATGTTCAGCAGGAATGATTTTGGTATCATTTTATTTCATCTAAAGCAGTGTTTTTGTGTTCGGAGGAGGACCGGAGGCGCTAGAAGCAATATTTTGTAAATGGGGGCGCTGAGGTGCTCTTGGGGCGTGTTTGTTGAGGTCAAAGTTTTAAGGCGAAAGTTTTACGCCAAAGATTAACAACAATACAAGTTTAAACTTTCAACTATTTGCAAAAAACCCTGTGGTCTGCAACATTAAAACCTGCCAGTTTACTTCACTGTGGCTGGACAAGATGGTGTGTGTCATAACTCTTCTTCTCTGTTTCTGTCAGATACTTGTGGCGCATCTCTGTGCTGCCTTCAGGGGAAGTCAGAGTATCATCTGTAAAAGTTTCTCTGAGCAATACTCCATGAATGCCTTTTTATGGCATTGGTTACACATTTACAAGATATAGGATACACAAAATATTATGGATTCTTATTAAATGGTGACGTTAGTCTCGTAATATGACTTTCAAGAGAGTTAGACAGTTATAGTCAATAACTGAATTAAAATGAATTAATGTATTAATGAGGTGAAAAGGCACCACATGCACAGAGGTTAACAGAAGACACAAAAGTGGAGGGAAGACTAAATTATGTGTGTTGACTCAGCATGGATGAGATTAAACAAGTTGATCTACAGGAGGAACAGCCTATTTAAATGCAATTAAGAATGCCTGAGAGCCTTACTGCTAATATTATATTATATCTTTATATTTTGAAATGTCACCTGCAACCTGAATTTTGTGCTTCCATTTATAGAAAGACAAAAATGACACAATTAATTGGAGCAGAAATTTTCAGAATGCAGGAAATAGAGAAAAGTCTTTAGTGCTCAGAATCTTCTGGGGGAGGATCAAGGCCCACACTTACTAAGTTCCCATCCAAGAAAACAGTCTCTGGTTTAACACCCAGTTTCTGGGAAGAACATTCACTTATTAATTAAATATAATTAATACTCACATGGCTTTTTTGTTCCCTGGGAAAGTAATAAATATGTTTTTTGTCATTCAATTATGTGCCTTTTTAAAATGTTTAACAGTAACGACGACCACAATAATATACTGTATTAAAACACAGTAAATGACAAAAGAAACTGCTCTGCACTATGTAGCGTGAGACAAGGGAATATTGACGCACACGGATCGGGTTTAGTCAGACCTGCATAGCTGTCCATCAGTGCATTTCAAATGAAAATGTGATGAAAAGTTTATCTTTTACTTCCTCATTCCTGTAGCAAGGTTGTTTTTGTCACACAAGAGCCTGTTTTTCTTGACCAAAGCGCCTATCTTGCACCCGGTGAAAAGTGGCGCAAGACGCAGCGCAAGTGTGATTTCTAGTTTCCAACCGACGCAGTTGTCATTTTCACGCCAGGTGCCCACCTTGTTTAAATAGCAAATGCACTCGTGCTCATCTGTGCGCCCATGGGAGTGCTGGTGTTAAAATGAGGCGCGGTCAGCCAAATTGTTGGCGCATTTCTATCTTGAGGCAGCAGAAAGCCATTGACCAAAAAACAGGTCTAAAGTCAATGGCGCAGTATTGAACTGTTTTTAGTTATTTTGGAGACGCATTATTCCGCTAAGAGAGGCGCTTTGCGCATTTACGCACGAGGCACAGCAGCGTAACATCATTGATTATTAAAATCTCCCGACACGCAGACAGGATCGGCCAGGATCTAATGTCTATTCATGTTCTGTGTTCTTCTACACATGGAAAAGGTCTCACACACAGTCAAGGTTCATAAGGTGAAAGTGTTTGGAGTGAAGCAGCCCTCCTCCTGATCAATCCTGAGCTCCATCAGAGCGTCTAAATTATTTCAGATGTTAAAAGTTGAATTATTTTTCTTCTGGAGAGTTTAATCTGTCACGTTTATAACTACAGTTTTTTATTTGTTGTGACTTTATTGCGCACATGGAAGCGTTTTAAATGACTGACAGCAGATTCTAATCATGAAAGTAAATCGTTAAAGAAAACACTCATACATCAATAAAACACAAAATAAAGAAGCCAGTGTAGGTGAGAGATGTGACCCACGACCGGTTCATCATATAATAACGCAGCACAGTGGGGATCCAGACGTTTCATACAGCGTCTGTCTGTCTCTCTGTTAACAGACCCCAGTCTGCAGTGAAGTTGAACATTAGGCTTCATGATCAGAGACACTTTTTATATCACGTCCACACCTCTGTCCATATCCTCTCTGCTGTGAGTCTGCAATTATGGTTTTAACAATGCGCCATTATAATAGCAATGCCCCAATGTACAAGCCATCTGGCTTTTAAAGAGAATGGGAGATGGTGTATTGAATGCTACGCCCAAAACACACCCATGACTAATTCACAGACTAAGTACAACCCTTTTGAACCGTGTGCCTGGTGCACTGACTGTTTTTTCCTCCGTTAAACTAACAAAATTGGAGCTAGACACGCCCCAAAAGCACCTGCGCCACGCACTTCACGCCGTGCGCTCACGTCGTTAAAATAGGGCCCTAAATCTTAACTGCCTTCAGTACTTAACGGCAGCTGAGCACCGATAAACATCAAACAACTGAGCTTCTGTACAAGCAGCACACGGTAACTGACAGTCGGGGGCGTCTGAAGTCTTGATATTTTTTATAAGGAGGAGGTGAAAGAGATACTGGTAAGTAAAATGAACAACTTTATCATATTCTGCAGGGAAAGTAATTGGTTATCCATATACTGACACATATCCACGCATGACCTCATATAAAAGGTAAGTGGAGTTGGTTTGCACATTTTAGTAGGAATTCATTAACATGTATGTTTTCAAATGTTTTTTTCCAAAGGTCTGGCTCATGGATTGTGGGCTGATCATCTTTGTGCTCACAGGTTGGTGCCTCTTTTTTGATTATTCTGTTGTTTGTTTGAGCAAGATCACGTTCACTGATGATATCTGGCTCATGGTCAAGGTGTACAGCAGACAAGCCAGTTTCTGACAAGCCAATAGATCTCCCTCCATCCTACACCTATTGAACTAAGAGAAAAAATCCAGAGTGAACACATAGATCAGATAAGTACCCTTTGTCAGTACAGACAATGGTATTTTAATTAAATATATGAACATATGGTCCTGCCCCAGATGCTCAAGTCTAAAGGAAGGAAGCATAATCTAATCAAAGTCAGGCCCAAAGAGTTTCAAGGGAAGAATTATTTTTTATCAGTGCCCCCTCTCTTCTGGGACTGAGCCAGTTGTCTTTATTATTGTAGAATCAACATATTGTACATTATTAAGCAGTCGTCACTCAGTACTGCATATATAGTAAGTATTTCTGCGACAAACTGAGTCAAAGGGTACAACTTATATTACAGAAAATGTTTAAAATGACAAACATATTTGTAGTTGAACTGGTTCTATTTTATTGTCAGTGGTAAACAGTGAACACATTCACTGAGGCAGACTGGAACTTGTTCTGACTCAAGCTGATAGACAAAGTGCGAAGGCACCAGACATTAAATCTAGCAGGACTGTTTGGTTCAGTTTCAGAGAGCACTCATTTTTTCCATGCTCTGTAGTCATGCTACAGTGTACGCTACAAAAATTTCACCAATGAGGAAAATGTATTGTAAAACCTCACATTACAGCTGAAACCACCTGATGCATACACTCAAAAGAATCATAGACTCATTTAGTCATGTCAGCTTACTTCTTCTTTTTAACTCAAATAGCTCTGACAAGTTTTGGATTTTGAACTCAACTGTATGAGTTTTAGAATGTTAAACTTGCATTAATTCATTTTGTTGACTATTTGACACTTTCGTCGTGTTGATTAAACTTACGTATGTAAGTTATCAGTTGAAAAAAAGGTGAGAGTATGAGGATTGCCTAGGTGCTGCGTCTTTTGAGTTTGAGAAAAACATGTACATAATCAACTAATTATTAGGGTTTAGCAAGTACTTGGTTGAAACGAGTATCCGGTACAGATACTTTCTATGAGTATCATCAGAGTAAAATGTGTCAATATCTGTTTTGTCATAAACTATAAATATATGAATATAAAAAAATCAATTACTATTCTCTGAAGCTCTCTGAAGCTCAATTCTGAGGCTGTACAGTAAATGGTTTTCTAATAAATATAGCAAGTTCTGATAGAAATTTCAGGCTTAAATAACTTCCACTTAATACCGCCCACTTATAGACTAAGCCCCGCCCATTCTGAGTACAGATACAGAAAATTTGGTGTTCTTGCTCACCCCTGCTAATCATACACTGCAGATAAGTCATATATTCAAATTCCAACCAAAATATAGACACTTCTGTGGTAAACAAGACTAGTGCCACCAGTGGAAAGGGTTCCAGACAACGGCGTTAAATCCCTTTCAGAAAGGAGGTGACATCTGCTGCTATTTTGAACTTTGACTGCGGCGTGCACAGGCGCCCAGCAAGCTACCCTGCCCCGTCACAAGTCACTGAAGATAATAACACAGTGGTGCTGTTGTTGTGGTCTGTCTTCAAGGCCCTTTATAGATGTAAACTGAAACAAATTTGGAATTTAAATCCCTTAACTTGAAATGGAAAGTAGTATTAATTTGGTTAAATTGCTTTAACTTGAAACTATGAGTCATTTAACTAACATTGGGACAACTAGAATACTGTAGTTATATCCACTTTATGAACTTAAATTTATGAGTTGAAACAAAGGCAATCTTCAAGTTGAGTTATCTGAACTTAAAAATGTGAGTTGAAGGGGTGTAGAATTGTATGTTTGTTAGACAAGTGAAAGCAAGTTTCCTTGAATGGGCAATGTAATATAGATAGTTGTTTTAACTCACAGTATTAAGTTCCAACACCAAATTATCATTAATTAAACAAATTGTATAACGTAACATCATGAGTTGAAACAAAGCTTTTCTTAAAGTTGAGTTTACTCACATTTTTAAAGCAGCAATTGAACTTAAGTTTTTAAGTTGAACCACCTAGATAATTTTTTACAGTGTAGTGCCTCTTCATGTTCACTGTAAAAGAGTCTACACGCTTTATAATAAATAAGTAATAAAAAAATGAAAATTCTTTGTTTCAGGAGCACTGGTCAATGTTGCCTCTGCCCAAACTCGTCAGTACTACTTTGAGAGTACACCACTGAACTGGACTGAAGCTCAGAGCTTCTGCAGACAGGTCTACACTGACCTGGCCACCGTAGAAACCATATCTGACGTCAGTACCATACTCAGCACCACACCGAGCTACAGAGGCAAGTTCTCAATATTGGAAACATATACAGAACATAAACATAATATATAAATATAAACTGTATAATCATATACAAACATAACAGCCAGACAACAACCAAGTTTTTGATAAACTTACAATGATTAGATAAAATAATATAATATGATATAATGGAATGTGAAAGAACAAGAAAGGCCCTCAATAAAAAATAGAGGAGACATAATTTAAGGGATGTTAAGTAAGTTATTTACATTTTAGGTAATTCCGCAGGTTTTTTGATTCCAGCTGTTATAAAGTGAACATCTGCTTCAACAGGCAAAGCTTGGATAGGCCTCTATGATCACAGCTGGAAATGGTCCCTGAGTAACAGCAGCTTCTATGGTGAAGCAGACACGGGGTTTAGAAACTGGGCTCCTGGACGTCCCATCAATCCTTATGGTCAACAGAACTGTGTGCTGCTTCTAAACAATTACTATTACTATTACTATTACAATTACAATAACTTCCTTGGAACATGGATGGACATTAATTGCAACAACTACTACTTATCTGTGTGCTACAATGGTGAGTTTTTTTTATAGCATAAGAATTAACAAAAACCTAAATAGAGCTTCTGCATAGCACATTGTTAATAACTTCTCTTATATTTCCAGGTTCAGTAAATGGCACATCTTCCTTTGTAAAAGTCAACAAATATTTGAAGTGGACTGAAGCTCAGAGATACTGCAGGGAGAATTATGTCGATCTAGCCAGGTACAGTGTGCACTAATGAAGACTCCAACACATACAATAGTTCAGTACTGAACCAACTACTTAACAACTACTATCTGTTCTGTTGATGAAACTCAGATTATTTAGTATTGTGACAGATGATAGGAATCCCAAATGGATTGGATGATCTTCCCTATTGTTTTATTTGATCTTTTTTTAAATTCAAACCTATTGGTGTTAAGGGATTCCCAAAGGGCTTTTTGCATAAACTAACAGGTGTGAAAGTTGTGAAAGAATGTGCAGGACAGATGAGAGGTGATTTAATTGCAATATATACACAAATGAGCAAGCTATTGATATTACAATGTCAACAAGTATATATTTAAGGCAATGGGTCCCTGATAGTGGTGTTAAGGGATTTTTAAGGGCCTTTTTCAGAAACTTACAGGTGTGAAAGTTGTGAGAGGATATCCAGGACAGATTAGAGGTGATTTGGTGCCAATATATTCATAAATGAGCAAGCTATTGAAATTATTCACTTGTAATGTGCAAAATTAAGAATTTAATTCATTTATTTATTTTCATGTTTGTTTACAAACTTACAGGTGTGAAATGTTTGAGGGTGGTCACTAGTTATATTAGCAGTGGTTTGAGATTTTTATGTAGAAAAAAAAAAGTTATTGAAGATTGAAATGGATGTGTTGCAATTTGCAGAAGGTCCCTAACTCCCCCTACAGTGACAGGGGCATTTGACAGACATTCAGTGCATTGCGCTCTGGACTGCATCTTTATCTTCAGTGATTTTGAGGTGATCACAACTGTGAAACTTCTGCCTGAATTAACTCTCCAATATATCCCAAAACTGGGAGAAATAGAGATTTTGACACGGAGGTATTGAAGGTAACAGGCACGAAAACCGACAAATGTTGAATATTAAACTAACCCCGGTTCTGTTGTTGGCCTCTAAAGAATAAAAATGTAACGTTACTTGCTGTGTGAGTCGCAGACAGTTTGTGCCAAAGCAGACATATAGACCACAGTAGTTTCAGTAGGCTATAAAATTGAAACGTTAAAAAGTGAAGCCCTGACTTGCTCTTGGGGACTGCAAGCGGCACTTTATCAGAGGTGCTGAAGTAAACAGGTGAAATTTCTGCCTGATTAGTTTCATTTTCCACCGGCATGAGCACCTCCTCGTCTCATCCAGTTCTGTGTCTGTCAAACGGTCGAGGGGATACTTCCAGCAAATCAGTAACAATGCAGTATAGGGCATGTAGTAAAATATTTTGAATTCTCTTTAAATAGGCTAATGATGTTAGTCTCCTAATATTACTACTTTTTTCTTTACATGTCAGAGAACACAGATAGGGCCTGTGTGTGAGAGATTCTGAATGTGCAGAAAGTTTTGAACATAAGTAGATTAGTTACAGTTAAAGAAAGAAGAAGTTACAGTGTTTCCCATATGTTCAACAACACTGACCGCTAATGTTAGAATATAGCTGGGTTTTCGAGGATAGCATGCTGTATAGTCATTCTGTGGGAAACACTGAATTATGATATAAGTTATTAACAGATGAGCTAGTCAATAACTGAATTAAAAGGGATTAATTTATCACTGAGATGAAAAGGGGCCACAAACACATTTAAATAGGTTACTAGAGCCAAAAGAGGTGGTAAGACTTGTACCGCATTCAGACCAAAATAACTACAACACGATGCAGATTTGTTAAACATATAAATTCATGCTTTGTCAGGTCTGTCAGCAAGACAGCAGGACAACAACTTCTAAAAGTTTGTTTTCTGAATGGAGTTTGGAGCGATCAGGGCTATGCTATGCTAACTTGCGCACAGTAAAGTACAATGATAGCTGGAATAAAGTTACAGACACATTTTTTCTGAAATCACCAGGTAGTTCAACCTCCTCGCTTTCTTTTCTCCCAGCAATGTCCAGTTTTGTCCGTTTTTATAAATATATATAAATATGAAGTTGTACAACGCTAACAACAACACTGGAACCGGATGTGCATGGAGGCTAGCTGCTGAGAAGCTCCAGTGAAGATAAATCAATGTAGAAAGTAAAAAGCTAATTTAATAAAAGTAGTTAACTCTGAGCTCCTCCCGATGTCATTTTCAAAGAGAGCTGATTGGTCAGGTAGGCTTGCACAGAGTTGATCGCTTATCTGGAATATAACCTGCTCTGGAGCAGGTTAGCCGTTTAGCATAAGTTACCATGGCGATCTAACCCTGTAAGAAGTGAACCACCGCTGTGAACCCAGGGTAAATCCTGAAGTTATCTGGATAAGCTCAAATCCTGCTTCGTGGTACAGGCCCCAGCTGCTCCTCTCCACCATGTCTGAGTTCTTCTTTCTTTCTAAACGTAACTAAGTATTGTGATGTCAGATATAGAGTTACAGTGACTTTAATTTAAGTTTAATGTTGCTGCTCTAGAAAAAAAAAACATTTAGTTGTATTTAAAATATTAAATTCTAATTTTATAATTTATTTATACACAACCAGGCAGCTAACATGTACACTTCATTATTTGTTTATTTATCGCAAGTCATATGTCACCTTAAAGGTTCAGTGTGTAAGATTTAATGGCATCTAGTGGCCACTGCCCCCAAACCTTTCAAAGAGCGTAGGACAGCTACGGTGGCTGAACCAGCACAAAAGGTGTCTCTTCTGAGACAGCAGAGAGTAGCCAGTCAAGAAATGAGGTTTTAGGTATATTTATTAAGAAATTATATTTACTTAATTATTCAGTTACTCCATATGTAATTGTGACTTGGCCACTGACAGATAACATGGAAAATGTAAGCCAAGAGTATGAAACACTGTCACTGTTTCTGCACTACAGTCCATTATAAACCACACATTAGATAAAGTTTATACAAACATTGACAAGGGAAACACATTAATTCTTTCTGTGATTATTGACCATCGACCATCAATAGTCTCTGGTCCACTGCCAGATTATGGTGCTTTGATAGCAGCAAAAAATATAAATAAATACTTTGATAGCAGTGCTGAAATAGATCTCAGTCATGACAGCAACAGTTACTCACATCACTTCCTCTTTAGTGGTTTTGCCTACAAAATAAAAGCGTGACTGCAATCTTGTATTTGAAGTTGAACAGAGCTTTTACTTTGAAAAATTCTGAACGACATTAAAAGAGTCTGTAGACTGCTTGACACACCTCTGAAAGAGCCGTCAGTAAACGTGATTCCCCAAAATGTGCTCTGCCTGGAGATACTGGGGAAATGCAAAAGCGTCTGTAGGTTGACGGATACGGATCAAATACTTAAACAAAAACAGTGCAGCACGTGCCCTGATCTGAGAAACATTTGCTGCAGAATCCATTTTTTGAAGAGAGAAAAACAAAGTCTTGTCCCAAGGTGGGATCAAACCCTAAAAGCGTGGTTAACAGATCCTGCACCTTACCAACTGAGCTAACCAAGTTAATATTATGGATTATATTCTCATCAACCATCTAATGGTTACAAATACTGCTCAGACGCAAACCTTATTTGCAGACCCCTGCAGTATATTATTACTATATTGTTCTTCAGAAGTAGAACAAGAACTTAGTGATGAAACGTGCTCTATAGCGCTGTTTGTCAGCTACTGTAGAATAGGGCTGCAACTAGAGACTATTTTCGTAGTCGACTAATCTGTTAATTATTTATTCGATTAGTCGACTAGTCACGATTATTTTTGTCAACTACTAACCCTAATGAAACCATTTAACTAATTAAATATATAATTAGCCTAACTAACTAACGTTACCATTAAGTGAACGAGCTTTACTATTCAGAATGAACACCAGCATCAACGCCAGGCGGAAACAAGGGGAGAAGACAAGACAATGTAGGCTACTCCTATAATTCACAGATTTATTAAATTTAACTGTTTAACAAAGATTTTTGCTTTGGAACTATACAAAATAAAAGCAAATTAAAAGCAAGAACTATAACCACAACTGTACACTAACAATGTAATGTCTATTAGAACAATAAAGCAACAGGCCCCTTTCATAATACTTCTGTAGTTTATTTTTCACAAGTGCTTATACGTTTAAGGCAATAACTCAATTGAGAATGCTCTGTAGGCTACATCATGAGCCAGATGGTCCTTGATGTACTTTAAACCATTACTCATTACTAATAACTTCTTTAAAGCTGGGTCTCCGTCATTGCCAGCGTTGTGTTGGACAGATTTGTGCTCCGGTGTTTGAGAGAGAGAGAGAGACGAGTGAGAGGATGTGCTGCGCGAATGCGCTACGGTGCTGATCTGCAATCAAATACAATTTTAAATAGGCCAAGTAAAAAAAAATAAAACACGAAGATCAGTATGTGGCGTGCCGCCACAAATAAATGAACGTATAGAAAATGCTGCATTTCCTCTTTCTCTGCAGCTCTGTTGTTGCTGCTGCAGTGGTCTGAGTAGGTTGATTAACAGTGTAACTCCAGTCATCTTAAAAGAAACACACACACACACTTCTCATTCATCATTTACTTTTGAAGAGTAATATACTATGACATTTTACTGCAATCAGCTGAATTAATAGAAAAAAACTGTGGAAACTGGACTACAATTTGAGCTTTGTGGGAGTCTGTAGTATAACGGACGTTACCAGCGAGGATTAATAAATAAATAATTGAAGCCTGGACAGAGACTTCATTGCACATTACGTGGTCAACACTTTCTCTCACACACAGCAGCCCACAACTTGCCCTATGTGTGATACTGCAACAAAGTTTAAGTTTTAAAAGCCTGTAAGAAACCAACAAAGACTACTCAAGAAGAGATGCAAATCCGCCCTTTATGGTATCATATTAATTATTAATCATGTTGTAATGACATTCATACAGTGCGTAACATAGTTCGTTTGGAAAATGTGTTTACTTTAGTGTGTTTATCTTATTAATATAATGTACATTTGTGATTAACAATAAATTAATTACTGACCCCCATAGATGCATGATTTTACTGCTTCAATAAGAGCTCAGACCCTCCTTATGGACCGTAACTAGAACCCTGCTGG